CCTCCTCACACTGTATTATAGTTAAAATGCTAGAAATACAGACCAAAGAACAAATATTTCAAAATGCAAGACAGAAACACCAAATCCTTTAGAAAGACAAACTCACCAAAATAAATGCACATTTCTCAGCAGAAACTAAAGGACAAGAAAACATGGAATGAGGTATTTTAAGTCCTGAAAGAAAATAATTGCCAATCTATACTCGCCAAAGCTATCCTTCAGAATCAAAAGAGAAATGAAGATGTTCCAAGATAAGCATAAAGGAATTCATGACTACTAAGTCAGCATTATAAGACATTTAAAGGAACCCCATGAACAGAAGAGAAAACCTACATAAGCAAGTAAAATTCAAGAGAACAAAACAATAAAAAGAATTAGCATATGCATTTCAATAGCAACTATGAATATAAATGGTCTTATTTCTCCAATTAAAAGCACAGACAAGCAGACTGGATAATACAAGTAAGACCCAACTCTTTGCTGCCCACAAGAAACACGTTGCCAGCAAAGATACAGACAGACTTAAGTAAAACAGTAAACTATGATATTCTCTGCAACTGGAATCTCAAAGCAAGGTGAAATAGTTTTACTCATATCTAACATAGCAGATGTCAAGACAAAATATGCAAAAGAGACAAAGAAGGTCACTACATGTTGGTAAAGGGGACAATATATCCAGAAGATATGTTATAAATATATTTGAAACAAGCATCAATGCATGGAATTTCATAAAACAAACTCTAGCACACAAACAGTGACACACAGGGCTCAGTACAACAATAAAAGATGACTTCAATACTCCATTCTCCATGATAAGTAGGTTATCCAGACCAATATATAAAAAAATAAATAAACAAACACAGAAACATCAGGGCTAATGTTAATCAAATGGACTTAAAAATATCTATAGAATATTTCATATAACAACTACAGCATACAAATCCTTTTCATTAGCTCAAAGAATGTTCTCCAAAATAGATCATACTTTATGCCATAAACCAAGTCAGAATGAATTTTAAAAAAGTAATTACTCGCATCTCAGCAGATTAGAAAACTAGCAATCAATAGCAAGAAAAACTAAAGGAAATTTGAATAATGCACTTTTAAATGTTCAGTTGCTCATTGAAGTAATCAGGGGAAATTTTTAACAATTCCTAGATTCAAATGAAAGGGGAAACATAACATACCACTATCTGTAGGGTAGGAGTTCTAAGAAGGAAGTGTATAGCTGTTAGTGCATACATCAAAACTCAAAAAGATCTCAGATAAATAATCAATAATCCAATGATATATCTCAAGATTTTTTTAAAAATGCAAAACCAGCCCAATAGAAGGAAATAATAAAGATCAGCATCTAAATCAGTGAAATACCAAATGAAAGCACAAAGCAAAGGACAAATGAATCAAAGAATTGGCCCTTTGAAAAGACAAACAAGGGGCTAGGGATTTAGCTCAGCAGCAAAAACGCCTGCCTGGCAAACGCAAGGTCGTGAGTTCAGTTCCTGGTACCAGAGAAAAACCAAAAAAACAAAAAAAAAAAAAAAAAAAAAAAAAAAAAAAAAAAAAAAAAAAAAAAAAAAAGAAAAGACAAACAAGATTGATAGACTTTTATCTAAACTAACCAAAATAAAGAAAGAAGACCCAAATCAATAGGATTAGAGGTAAAAAAAAAAAAAAAAAAGGGAGGGGGGATATTACAACAGACAATACTTAAATATAGAGGATTATTGAGAACTATTTTCAACAAACTATTTTCAACAAATTGGAGAATCTAGAAGAAATGAATAAGCTCTAGCATATGTCATGCATCAAAATTGAACAAAGACAACATAAAAAACCTAAACATATAAATACCAAGCATTGCGACTGAAACAGCAATAAAGTCTCCCTCAAAGAAAATCCCAGGACCAGATGGATTTACAGCTGAATTTTACCAGGCCCTTAAAAGACAATTATCATCAACATTCCACAAATTCTTGCATGAAATAGAAAGGGAAGATGATTCCAAACTAATTTTACAAGACAAATATAACTATGATAACAAAAGTAGATATAAAAACTCAAAAACAATAACAAAAAAAGCTACAACATAAATTCAAAAATCCTTAGTAAAACACTTGCAAACCAAATTCAACAACTCACTGAACGGATCACACACTATGGTCAATTTGGTATCATCTTAGGGATTCAAGGATGGCTCAACATAAGCAAATTTATAATGTAATAAAGCACATAAATATAATCAACCATAAAAAAAATCACATGATCACCTCACTACACACAAAGAAAGCCTTCAACAAAACTTAACATTACTTCATAATAAAAGTTCTGAAGAATTAGGTATAGAATGACCATATCTCAATGCAAGAAAGGTTATATAAGATGAACCCATAGATAATGTCATACTGAGTGGGAAAATACTAAAAATATTTCCTCTACAATTAGGAAGGAGAAAAGGGTGTCCATTCTCACCATTGTTATTCAATAAAATGAAATTTTATCTAGAGCAATTAGGCAAGTGCAAGAAATAAAGGAGTACAAATAAGAAATGAGGAAGTCATATTATTCTTATCTGCAGATGATATGATGTTATATGTCAAAAATCTTACAGATTCTACCAGAAGATATTGGATCTCATAAACAAATTCAACAAAGTGGCTGGACAAAATCAACATAACAAATCAACAGATTTTCAATACACTAATACTGAACAAGAAAAGAGCAATTAGGAAAATAATTCCACTCACAATAACTTAAAAAATACCTAAGAATGAACCTAATGAAGGAGGTAAAACAATAAAAAAATGGAGAACGGTGAAGAAAGATATTGAAAAACATCAGAAGATAGAGAGAACTCCTGTCTTTGATCAGCAGAATTAACATTTTTAAGTGGCTAATTTGCCAAAAGCAATCTCTATCATAATTCCAAAGACATTTTCATAGAACTAGAAAAAAAAAAAAGCTAAAATTCATTTAGAAGCATACAGGAAGGACAAAGGAAATCCTGAGCAAAAGGAGAAATGTTAGAGGTATCAAATACCTGATTACAAAATATACTACATAACTATAAAAACAGCACAGTACTGGCACAAAAAGAGACACATAGGGGGCTGGGGATTTAGCTCAGCGGCAAAAGCGCCTGCCTGGCAAGCACAAGGTCGTGAGTTCGGTTCCCGGTACCGGAGAAAAACCAAAACCAAAAAAAAAAAAAAAAAAAAAAGAGACACATAGACCAGGGAGATAGAGTAGAAAAAACCCACACAAAAAAAAAACCCAAACAGAAAAAACCCACACAACTATAGCCATCTGATTCTTGATAAAGGAGACAAAAACTTACATTGGAGAAAAGACAGTCTCTTTAGCAAATGGTGCTGGATTAATTAGATCTCTATCCATAAAAAACTGAAACTAGATTGCTATCACTACCCTAGTTGCTATCAAAATGGATTAACAACTTAGGTATAACATCTGAATCTTTGAAACTGCTCCAATAAATCACAGGAGAGACACTTAAACTCACAGTCACAGACAAAAACACTCTGAATTGGACTCTAATACCTAGTATATAATAACAAGCATCAACAAATTGGACCACATCAAATTGTAAATCTTCTTTAAAAAGAAAACAATCGACTGAGTAAAAAGACAGTCTATAGGATGGGACAATAGATATTCCTCTGACAGAGGATTAAGACCCAGAATATACAAAGAACTAAAAAACAGAAAAGCAACCCCCAAAAAAGTACCCCACTTGATAAATGGGCAAATGAATTGATACTTCTCAAAGAAGTACAAATGGCCAATGCACACATGAAATAATGTTCAACCTCTTTAGCACTTAGAGAAATGCTAATTAAACTACATTTGAGATTCTATCTCACATCAGTCAAAATGGCTATCACCAAAGAATACAAAAGAACAATAAATTCTGGCAAGGACACAGGGGAAAAAGAACCCTTCTACACTTTGGTAAGAATGTAAATTAGGACACTCACAATGGAATTCAGAAAGAGGGTTTTTCAAGATTAAGAGATACTACCTGATATAGCTGTATCACTCCAAAATATACTCCTGGAAGAATTTGTTGACATACTACAGAGGTAGCTATATACCCATGTTTATTGCTGTCCAACTCACAAAAGCTAATCTATGAAACCAGTTTAGGTGGCCATCAACTAATGAATGGATTTAAAAATGTGGTATACATACACAATGGAATATTATTCAGCCAATAACAAGAAAAAATCATGTAATTTGCACAAAAATGGCTGAACTAGAAGTCAACATGTTAGGTAAAATAAGTCCAACTTGGAAAGGCAAAACAGATGTTGTATATTTTTTCTCATAGGTAGAATCTAAACAAAAGAAGGAAAAGAAACAGCGATGCTATGAAAGTAGAAGGGGGACTAATTAGAGAAGAGGAAGAAAATGAGATAGGAATGGAAGAGAAAAGGGTGGCATGGGGTCAGGACACCTGAAAATAATCCATGTATCTTATACACATGTACAAATGCCAAAATGAATTATCATTAATATGTATAACTAATATGCACTAATAAAAAAGGGGGAAGACTTTTCTAAGGACCTTCATTTTGGTGAGGGATACAGCCAAAAATATTGCACGATCAGAAAGTGCCATCTATGCTGAAAGAAATTGTCAATGAGTCCTTGATAGATCAATATTGCATGTCTCTATCTGCATTCATGAGAAACCACTTTGAAGATATCAATATGTAATACAACAAGCATTGTTAATTTCCCACCACTTTGTTGGTAACTCTGTATTGTCTGTACTGTTCTTTTGCTATTTTATAAAATGTCTGTCTGTTAATGTTTTCCTCCTGTTAAAATTAAAAAATGAATAAATAAATAAATAAATAATGTGCCACACCAAAAAAAAAGTGCCATTTAAATGTAAGGATTTTCCTTAAAACTCTCATAAATTTAAAAGCACAGTATATTTATTTGATATAAATATTTTATTAATTTAAAATAGAGTATAGATTTTAAAGCATTTTAATGTCAACAAATACATTTTATGAAGTAAATTGGAAGACAGAAAATGCTGTCACAAGCTAATATAAGTTCACAAAAGAATTCCTCAATTAAATGCCCTGATGACAATCGTTTTCAGAGGACAAGTACAATGTAATCAGTTTTTAACTGTTTCATGATTAGGACCCCTGGATCACTGCATTACCGTTCATTCACATTTCCATGTCTCCCTCTTTCTGAATTATTCTCCACTGTGAAAATAACCAAATTCCCTTGAGCTATGAGCCTGGAAACTAGAGATTGGATTTTGACTTCCTACTTTCAATGATTCCCTCTGAGTACAGCTCATCAATCTCTTTCTGGTTAAATCCAAATTCTTTAAGTATCTCTTCCGTGTGCTCTCCTATGAGTGGATCCCTTTTGGTAGAAGGGATAGCTGGCGTGCGCAACAGCCGAGGCGCAGGGCGAGGATTCACACACTGCTCCTCATCAGTGAAGAACGAGCCCCGTTCTCTGTTGTGATTGTGATGCGCAGCCTCTTCGAACGTCAGCACTGGGGTCACGCAAGCATCCGTGCCTTCAAAGATCTGGCACCACTCTGCCTTGGTCTTCTTGGCAAAGACATCTGCAAATTTTTTCTTCATTTCCGGCCAATCGGCCTGGCTCATCTGGCTGGGAAGTTCATCAGACTTCAGTCCAAGTCCTGAGGGAAAAGCACAATTTCTTATGTCATTGGGCAGAGTGATTATAATCAGTAAAAATTAATTTTGAGGCTACCATATTACGCAAAGTAAGATGTTCTATAAGGTTTCTCAAGTAAGTAAGTTAAAAGAAGAAATTCTAAGTAGTTTAAAGTTGAGGGCAACAGTTAAAGAGGGGAGGCTGTATGGTAACAGGACTGAAAACAGGCTGGTCCCTGCCAAAAGTTTATTGCTGACACTTCATCAAAAGTAGTCTCTTATTAAGGTCTAGTTTCCAGAAATTGATTTTTTTCCTCTGAGTAGTTTTCAAGAAGAAATCTCCTCAGGATATTATCTGTCTTTTGAATTAAAATAAACCCACATTTTTTATAATGCACTCAAGTCCTATAAAAATACATCTTGAACAAGTTTAAAACTTACTATCTCACTTTTTAAGAAAGAAACCTAAAGATTAATGACTAAATTCAGGGTTGGAATTTTGTAAGTAATATTCATGTCTGTCTGCAGAGGTAAAATAAGAGCTTGTGGGAGTCTTATTCAAGAAACAAAGGACCTGGAAGACAGAAAAAGATTAAGATTTTATACTTTATCAGACCGTGAAAGCACATCTATATAACCACATATTCTTGTTTTTTTGCTGTCAGTAGAGAATTCAATAAGTTACATGAAATATTTAACACTTTATTCTAAAACATGTTGTTAAATGATTCTTCCCAGCTATAGTCTAGTGTAAGTATTCTGAGCACAGTTAAGGTAGGCTAGGCTAATTTGTTCAGCAGGTTATGTGTATTAAATACATTTTCAACTTATGATATTTTCAATTTAACAATGGGCGTATATAGATGAAACACCATCAAAGTCAAGAAGCATGTCTGTATATACAAATGGCCACTTTCCTGGGGTTTGGTGTAAATGTCACTTTTCCTCCTTCATACAAAATGATTTAATGATGGTGCATGGTTAAAAATAGAAAGATAATGAAAGGCCTTTTTATGCACAGTATTTCATGTAAGTTTAACCAAATTAATTGACAAATTAATCCGATTTTTACCATGTTTCCTTTCCAACCTGTTGTAGATCAGTGACTAATTTTAAGCTGCTCTTAAGATGATGAAGTCCCTAAAGATGAAGGAGGGAGGAGAAAGGAACATCTAAAGAATAACATTCTTTAAAATAAGTTTAACCAAGAAATACATACTTTGTACATTGAAAATTACAGAGTAACAGGAAGAAATTAAAGAAGCTCTAAAGAGATGGAGAGCAAGTGGCCTATGTCTAATAACGTTAGCTTAATGTTGTTAGCGTGGCAATGTTCCCCAGATCAATGCACACATTCAACAAAACCCCTCTCAAATTCCTAGCTATCACTTTGCAGAAATTGAAAAGCTAATCTTGAACTTGATATAGGAATTCAAGGGAATATAAATAGCCAAAAGAACACTGAGAAAAAACACAGTCAGGGAGCTCACACTTCTCAATTTCAAACATACTACAAAACTACAGCCATCAAGATAATGCAGCACTGACATAAAGATAGACCTTCAGATTCAATGAAATGGAAATGAAAGTCGAAAAATAAACCTTTACATTTATGTCAACTGATTTTTAAGAAAGATGCCAAGATCATTCCATAAGAAAAGTATCATTTTTTCAAGAAACTGTGTGGGGAAATTGGAAAGCTCTACACAAAAGAGTGAAGTTGAACCTTAACTTACCTTGTACAGAGAAATCAGTTTAAAATGGATCAAAGCCTAAATCTGAGAGCTGAAACCATTAAAACTTTCAGGAAAAACACTGGGATGAGGCTATATAACTGGGAATTCTCTGAAATAACTTTCATGTAATTTTTAGTAAAACGTAAATAATAAAAATGCGCTAATAAAGCTTATATTTCTGTATTGTTAAAGCGATTGATTAGAACTCAGACCACAAAATTTTTTCAAGGAATATATTTTTCAAGGAGTACATTTTAGAGGTGCCTGTGAAAGAGGACAATAAAAAATTGACTATATAGCTATATTAGTTAACTATGTAATTATATTTATATTTTCTATAGACAATGCATATATTTGTGAGGTTGTGCTATAGAACAAACTCCAATGTGCTTTCGGTTTTTTTTTTTTTTTGGTTTTTCTCCGGTACCGGGAACCGAACTCACGACCTTGCGCTTGCCAGGCAGGCGCTTTTGCCGCTGAGCTAAGTCCCCAGCCCCTCCAATGTGCTTTCCAAAGCTCTGTGTCCAAGGTGTGCTGCTCCCACCACTTGGTCTTTCACACCGTATTATCTAGTCCACACCTTTTAATTAGGTCTCTATATTTAGTTTTCATGTCTGGGAAAAAAGGTACCCTATATGATTCAGACAATCCATTCTGTTGCTCTATAGTTTTTCCAACTGTATTTAACTTACGTAATGAACATGTAATAAAAGCATTGAATATCTCTGAGTTATTTTATATACCAATAAAATTACCTGTCAATTTACAACACCCCAAAATACAAACAACACCCCAAAATACACTGATGGCTATTGCTAGGTTAATTAGAAAGTCCAATATATAGGCTGGGATTGTAACTCAGTGGTAAAGTGCTTGCCTGGCATGTGTAAAGCCCTGGTTTAATCTCCAGCACCACAAAAAAAGGTATATACATAGAAATATATACAATATATATTCATTAAAATAAAAGATGTCACAAAATTCAAAGACCCCAAAAGAGAGGCTAAAGAACATCCATAGGAAAAGAGGAGTGGGGAAGCATGTGATGGTTACTTACCTTTGATCAGCAGCTGGTAGAACTGGGGTTCCAATGCTCCAACAGCCATGAACTCCCCATCTGCTGTCTTGTAAGTTGTGTAGAAAGGTGCCCCACCATCTAATAGGTTCTCTCCTCGAGGTTCACACCACAAACCTGATTTTTTAGTTTTCCATATGAAAGAACTTAAATAGGCTGTTCCTTCCACCTTTAAAGAAGCAGAACACAGGGGCTGGGGATTTAGCTCAGCGGCAAAAGCGCCTGCCTGGCAAGTGCAAGGTCGTGAGTTCGGTTCCCGGTACCAGAGAAAAACCAAAAACCAAATAAATAAATAAATAAATAAATAAGAAGCAGAACACAGTATTAACCCAGGTAATTCAGGCATAAAAGTGTCTATTTAGGTTTGTTTAAACAGTCGTAGAACAATGCCTATCTTATAATGCATGCAATACCTAACTATATGACTTCTATGGGATTTTTGCAAATTGGGCTAGAAGGCATTTGTAGTAGAATGAGAACAGGCACTATTCAGTTCAGGAAATGCTATAAAACTTGGAACTACTTTTGTTTGGCTTTTTCAAATAAGACTGGCAAAACACTGAATTTTTGAAGCTAGGTGAAGTCACACGAAAGATCATTATAGTATTCTATCTACTGCTATTTATATTAAAAATTTCCAGGATAAAAAGTTAAAAACACAACAAAGGATTCTTAAAAGTCTACCCATCTCCTGATTTTAAGACCTATAAACACATACATACTGATATATGAAGCATATCATATTTCAAAGAGAAATCACATTACAATTACATTTAGCTGATTCTAGCTTGATGTCAGCTCCAAGAAAACTCTAATTGAGTCTTTAATATATCTTATCTTTAATGGTCACTAGAAAGTCACCAAATAAACATGACACACTATAGAGGTTTTCTGAGTCTAACAAAGTAGTTTAAGAATGCCATCTTTCTACAGATTCCTAAAGTATCAACAGTGGATTCACTTGTTCAAGCATAATTAACAAAGATCAACCTCAAACACTGGAGGCACTGGACTGTCTAATGCAGAAAACTCCCATCCACATACATGCCTTTTATAATTCTAATGATTCTAGTCCCCAGGGAGCAGGCCATCATACAACATTGTCCCTTATATTACCAACATCCCAACAGCAAGGAATTTCTCAGCTAATGGCTTTGAAAGGCACACAAAATATTTCTTTGGACACATCTCAGTTCCAAATTATAAGGAATTTGAAATCTCATGCATACATCAACTTATAGCTATGATATTTGTCATCACCAGGTATAGTCACTGTATCACTTAATGATGGGGACTATTATAACTATTCTCCAAAAGTTGTCATTAGCTGCATCTGTTTTTATACGAATTAGCACTCTATACTAATTCACAAAACCACCATTTGGCAGCTGAGTCTGTGCTCCTGAACTATGCTCCATGCTGCCTTGACCTTCAGCATCCTTCTCCCAGGGTACCAGTAATGCCATCTACCAGGTCATCCAAGCCAAAAATACAGGAACCATCCTTGATTCCTTCTCTCCTCCACCCCTGCCAACCCATCATAGCAATTTTACATCTAAAATAACGTTTAAATCCAGAGGCACCTTAACATCAGTGCTTCAATACTACCCCTGATCATCCCTCGGCAGTAACCCAGCAACTGGTCTGTCTCATCTTATGTCCCTGGGACCCATTATCCATTTCACTTCCAAAGATGTAAGAATATACAAATTGGATAGTGTCTAACTGGACTCACTGTGAGACCTTGGACAAACTTCTATGCCTTTTTGCAGAGTTGCTCCCCCCATCTTATCCACACTTTCAGTTATGAATGTCAGCAGCAGTCTAAGAACTGGGCCAGTTGTGGTATATGCTTGCAATCCCAGCACTCAGGAGGCTGAGGCTGGACAATCACCACTAGTTCAAGGCCAGCCTGAGATACACAGTAAGTTTAAAGGCAGCCTGAACTACATAGTGAGACATTCTCTCAAAAAACTAAATAAATAAATAAAATAAAAATTTTAGTTGAAAAATTCCAGAAATAAAAATAATTAGTTTTAAACTGCCTTTTTAACCATATGTCATTATAATTGTTCTCTTTTATTATTCATTTTGTTAATCTCTGACAGCACTTAATTTATAAGTTAAATTTCATCTCAGGCACATATTTATGTACAGAAAAAAGTATGGCATATATAAGGTTTGGTTATTAGCTGCAGTTTTAAGCAATATTGGTTGCCACCGGTAAGGAGGATAATAGTATTCCAAATTAAAATGTTTCTGAGGATTAGAAAAAATTATACAGGAAAAGTGCCCAACAGGAAATGAGACACATATTCAAGGGTGAATAGGAACAGCAGCATTATACTGGAGCATCCCCTCCCAAATGCAACAGAAAGGTGGTTTCTGTCTAGAAAGGCCCATTCTACTTAGCGTCCATAAGAATCTGCTCTATCTGCTGGAGAACATTTCGTAAACTCAGTTTTAGGTGAAGATTGCTTGCAAATTTATTTGAAGCATAAAAGACAACTTGGGGAAAATTATTGAAATAGGATTCAGAGGTCCCTGGTTGTCTAGTGGCTACAATTTGGCACTTTCAACAAAGGATTCAGGTGAGTCACAAAGACATAAGAGAACTGACTCCATAGATGATTAAAATATGAATTCTGACATGTGGTCATTTTTTAGTAAAAAATATCCTTGGTGACTTGGGATCAAACATTAAATTTCATTTATCTCATTCAGAAAAGGATTTGAGGTAGTTATATATCACACTTAGAAACAAGTGGCAGGCTGAACACTCCCCTCTATTCATCCTCACCATGTTTGCATCGATGACTTGACCTTTGCCAGAGCGCATGCGCTCCACAAGAGCCATCACAATGCCCAACGTGCACATGAGGCTGCCGCCACCAAAGTCAGCCAGGAGATTCAGCGGAGCATATGGATTATCACCACTCCTGCCAATTTTTGACAGAACACCTATGGCATGAAAAACAAAGTTAATGTCTCCTTTAAACACATATGTGGACATCTTAAACTCATAAATAATCTGTAGCCACATACTGGAGTGAAAACTAGTACATGCTGTTTTTTCAAATCTGAACCCATTCAGCCTACTTATAAACTGGCTTTCCAGAAACATAGGCTCTGCATTTTGTTGTTTTTTTTTTTTATTCTGAAGCCTTATCCTAATTGACATTTTCAAATTTTATTATTAAGTTTTCACTTGTTGGGTTTGAGGGAAAATTATCATCAACAACTTATTTTTAAAACATATCATGCATCTTATTAGAAAGAGATATAAGAAAATAATTATATACAAGAAAAGAAATAAATTTTAATTGATGTGAAAATCAATTTTATCCTCACTTTTTTCCTCAACTTTTAAGTGTGTATTCACAAAAAAGCTGAGAATTCCTTTAGTTAAGAACATAGAGGTCTAATCAGTCCATTCTAAGACATATTCTCATAGTAAAGAATTCTGATACAGTGCTGATAGGATCTGGGCAATGATTTTTCCTGGAAGAGTGTCAGATTCAAATTATATCAATGTTTGTGAACTATGGAATGACCATCTCTACTTCTACCAAGTCTCTTACTTCCTAGTAGGTGCTTTTCTGAAAATTTACTCCACAGATGTAAATAAATAAATGTTACTAATAAAAATACATTATCTCTCACATGTATTCAGAAGATGGGGGAAAAGAAAGCTTAAAAGTGTTTAAAATCAAAACCAATAGATTTTAAACAACCACACTCCTTGATTCTGGTAAATATTCAACCTTCACTTTTAAAAATTCTTGTTAATCAATGTAACTGTGTGTCTTTACTGGGTAGATTAAAAATATAGAAAAAATTATTTTTCAACCTACCTGACAAAGCCAAATAGTTGATGTCATGGCCAGCTACCTTGGATAAACTTCCTGAATGGCCGAATCCACTCAACCTGGCATAGATGAGCCTTGGATTCTCCTGCAGCAGAAAGTCTGGCCCAAGCTGAAGTTTCTCCATGACACCTTATGAGAAAAATAATCATTATTTTAGAGTATGAATTGAGTATGGGGATAATCTCTTCTGTGAAGGAAAATGAAACAGTATCCTTGGAAGTCTGTAGCACTAATAGCAACATTTGCTGTAGACTTTGTGAAAGTTGTCAGAACCAAAACAGAATCGTTTTTGCCAAGCCCTATCCAAAAATAAATAAAGCTGAGAAGTTATATAGGAGGTGACTTCCTGAATTTATGTCTAGGATGTTGAGATATAAAAACGCCCCTCAAAATGCTCATGTATTCAAAGGGAGGCCTTTCAGAAGGTAACTGGACAAGAGGGCTCTGACTTCACCAGTGGGTTATCCATTCATGGGTTCATATTTGATGGCATTATCGGGAGGGGACAGAAATGGGCCTGGTTGAAGCCAGCAGGTGCCGGAGGCATGACCTTAAGAACTACACCATGTCCTCAGGCCCCTCCACTCTGGCTCTCCTCTCTCTGTACTTTCTGGCTGCCACAAAAGGAGCAGTTTTTCTTCCACCATGATGCTTCTGCCCTGCATACGCCTAAAAGCAGAAGAGTCCTCTGACTAATGACTGAAACCTCTGAAATGATGTACTGAAATAATGAAAGTAAATCTTTCCTCCTATGAGTTGAGTTTCTCAGGTACATATTCCCAGCGATGAAAACCTGACTAACACAATTCAGGATAACAAGAACGACTCACAGATGACTTCGCCAGAACCACCACCTGGAACAAAGGCCTAGGCAACCTCACAGAAAACTTCCATGAGGACATCTGCCCTGAATCTGTTCAAACTTTGACCACCACCTCCTGTTTGTTAATCCCTGCAGCCAACGATTACTGTTTCACAATATTTAATGTAATCCACCCTTCTCTTCTAAAAACTTCCCCCTGCCTCTTTAAATAAGCTCATAGTTGACTAAGGAATGCGGAAATGCTCTGCTATTCCCATTATTCTTTGGAGAATCTCTGTTATTTAGCTTATAGCTTACAACATATATCCAGTAGTGAAGGACCCAGAAGAAGGCTACCATTTCTGGAATGTGTGAGTTCTGCCCCAGTATGACACTTCTTCTGTCACCTGTTTCCTGTAGGCATATCCAAGCCTACTCAATTGCCTGAGCGGGATCCCCTTTTTCCTCTTTCCATGCCTGCATCAATGCCTACCACCTCCTCCTGCACGATGACGTGGTATATGGACATGCTCATGTTCCCCACCAGCGCAGGAGCTCTTCCTGCAGGGTTCACAGTAGGCTCTTTCCATTAGCCCCTACTGCACCTTCACCAAGACTCATTCATAAACCTATAGAAAGAGCAGCTCCAGCACAACAACAATTGAAAAGAATCAAGAAATATGACAGCTCCGGCACAAAACCCAGGTAACTGACACCTAAAATCAACTGGGATTAAACGTCATAAAGACTACACAATAAGATCATTTAAGACTCATCTTTCTCAGGCTATGATTAAACACCAAAATCTAATTATCCTTCCAACTACAAAGCATAACCCCTCCCCTGCTAGCTATGTGTTTTTACACCTCTACCCTCCTAATTATGAGACCTCAGACAAATTATTTAACCATGTTTACCCGTTATCTTTAAATGGCGCATTATTAGACGGACCTGTGTTATTGCTAAAATTCTCAAGTATGACTCTAAGGACTAAATGAATCATTACATTTAAATATGCTCGGTGCCTTGCAGACATTCTCCATTTACTGACTTTCCACCGGACAATACTTTTGGCTTGTGCTTTAATAAGATTACTCTGGCAGATGTCTGGAAATAGATTAAACTCAGTTTTTAGAAGGCTCTCACACCAGCGTCGGGGCTGTTGCACCAGGTGTGGACAGAAAGAACCCTAAGTCTTAGGAGGGAAAAAATTAGAGATCAATGAAAGTAAACATGATGAAAGGAAGGACAAAGCTCAAGTTTCTGATTCAGGCAGCTGGACACTAGTTTCATTGGTTGACATAAATTATCTAAACCGGGTGTGGTGGCACACGCCTGTAATCCCAGCACTCGGGAGGCTGGGGAGGAGGATCCTTGCGAGTTCAAGGTCAGCCTGGGCTGCAAAGTGAGTTCAAGGCCAGTCTGAACTGCATAGCAAGACAAAAATTTAAAAAAAAAAAAAAATTATCCAGGAGGTAGTGCCATTTTATTTTTTTTTTTTTTTTTTTTTTTTTTTTTTGGTTTTTCTCCGGTACCGGGAACCGAACTCACGACCTTGCGCTTGCCAGGCAGGCGCTTTTGCCGCTGAGCTAAATCCCCAGCGGTAGTGCCATTTTAAAAGGAAATGGCAAAGGTTCGGTTTGGGACTTGCGGTAGCTGGAGTGGGTTAGAGGTCTGAAACGCGTTCACCAGCATTGCGAGGCTCCAAGAGTAAGTAAGCACAGTTACAGATATAAGCATTTTTGTCTATACAAAAATAAAAACTGGGGATGTAAGATGGCTCCAGGGGGCAGAGAACAAAATAAATGAGCTGAACTGGGACTTAGGAACAGCCGCACCTAAGGCAGGAAGTGTTAGCTTGGCCCGTGGGTGGCTTCAGACGTACCCCACTCTACCCAAAGAGCACCTAATTGACCTTATACACATATGCATATTTCCGGGAAGATAATCTACGGCTTTCATGAGACCCTCCCGTTAAGATGGGCAGATATAAAAGGGTGCTTAGAAAAAATAAAAAAGGAACTGAGGAAGGAGTGGAAGAGAAACGAAAGGAGAAACAGCAATAGCAGTTATGTTAGAATCCAATCTTCAGAGATTGTCTCTAGGGGCGTCTGAGCAATCAGCAGCGCTAAATACGAAAGACCTAGAAAGTCGGGAGCTGGCCAGGATCCCACCGCACGACCGGCCGGTGCCCGGCGCCCGGCCTCCCCGCCGGCCCGTGGGATCCCGGGCTCACCGCGGCGGAAGGGCTCCAGCAGCACGTCCGCGCGTGCGCACATGCGCCGCAGCGCGGCCGCGCCCCCAGGCCGCTTCAGGTCGAGCACCAGCGAGCGCTTGCCTCGGCCCAGGTGGCTCAGGTCCGCTAAGGTGCCGGGCCGGTCGACGCGCACCACCTGCGCCCCGAAGTCGGCGAGGACCATTCCGCAGAACGGGGCCGGGGCCAGGCCGGCCAGCTCCACCACCCTGATGCCCAGTAGCGCCATCGTGCCTCTCGGCCCTGCGAGAAAACTAAACGCGCAATCCCGGCCCGGCCGGCCCGATATAATCTCCCGGGAGCCCTCCGGTGGCCGGGCGGCGCGCCGCGGGCACGCTCCTCTGCGCCTGCGCACCGCCCAGCCGCGCGGCCTCAGACGTCTCCTGCTGAGTCCGCTTCGGGCCGCCTGTGGGCGGAGTCTCCAGGTCCTAGAGCACCAGGTCCGAGCTGTCGGCGGCCTTTCAGGGTGCTTTTATTCTCACCTTGGCGAGCCCTAAACAAGAAATAAAAACACCTAACTAGGTAAGACCAGTGTCAGCTTGTTTACCTGCGTTGGCGGCAGGTTGACCCTTTTGACCACTAATGCTATTTAGCTACCAGATTTCGTCCCGGATGGGACTGAGACCGCTCCTAAAGAAGCACTGGGCAAAAAACCTGCTGCTCAGCAAAGGCTAAATGAGAAAGCCCTAAATTTTTTTCGATTTGTCACCAGGTGTTTCTATGAATAGTTTTAAATTTTTAACTGTAATGTCAGTCTTAAAACATACACAATAAAATACTCACAAGTAGCCCCACTACTTTTAGAAATCATTTTCCCTCTACTTGTTATAGACTGTGGGCTGGTGGCATAATTTTTACAGCTCTAGGACGTGGAATAGAGCTAGAAGCTAGAGCCAGAATATCTCTGCACTCGGTTTTTAAGTGTGGGTTTATGTGAAGCAGCGAGTAAAAGCAAAGGGAAAACTTGCCACAATTCTAACACAAATCTTTCAGGCAAGTCTGAGCTACTCTTTTCTTTTTTTTCGGTGTTTTTTTTTTTTTTTTTTTTTTTTCCTGGTACCGGAAATCAAACTCACAACCTTGCACTTGCCCGGCACGCACTGTGCCGCTGAGCTAAATCCCCAGCCCCCAAGCTACCCTTGATGAGTTTACCTTTCAAGCCCTTTTTGACTGACCCTATGTGGAATTGGCTTCCACCACAGATAGATAGTATCTCTGCCTACATTTCTCAGTGTCGTCCTTGCTGCCTATATCTCAGTCGCCTACCTTTGTAGGAACATAAAATATACCTCCTTTTCTTTGTTTATATTTTGAGAAAGTTGAAAATTACAAAGAATAATAAAGGACACATCCAGATTGAGACATTAATATTTTGTCATATTTTCTTCTTCTATTTTTCTGCAAAACCAATAGTAACAGATACACCTGGAAATATAATACAGGATCAGAGTCACATGATTCAGAGTTCTTACTCAGCATCAAGCTTTACTACGGTTTGAAAGATTCGAGAAACTGTAAGGCTCAACGAAGAGAAAGGCCTAAGAAATCTCACCTGACTTAGATCTTTTCTCAATCTAAAACAACCCTTAAACATTCAAATCCTAACTCCCAGTATGTGAAAATGTGACTGTTCTCAGAGCTAAGGCCTTTTAAGAGGTCATTGCAATAAAGTGAGTTTGAATGAGTGGACTCTAATATTAATATGTAAAATGTGGGAAGCAGTGCAAAATTTTGTAGAAAAGCATCACCCAAGGAAGGCTGTAGCAGTGCAAGCAATGAGTCTGTTTAATGACAATGTGATGCCATGTTTCCTCAAATTCCTTTTGAGGCATTTTTTGCCTCAGAAGATGGCAAAAGCAAGTGTCATTGGGTAGGTTCCTTGTTAAAGCTGCATGACAAGAAAAACGTTCCATTGAGCCAATAGATAGCAGTTATTCCTTTAGTGACAGTGAAACTCATTTTACACAATAACCTTCCCCCTTTGCCTCCCTCACACCAGGCACAAAGGTTTTCGAAGGTAAGTGTAGGTTAATTTACTTTTCTTTATATTTTGTACTTTATTATTTTGTGTTATATTACAGTGTTGTACTCATTTTTATGTGAGTACTTTTGGGTTGTGGAACAAATCATCTGAGCTTCCATTATTTCTTATGGGGAAATTTGCTTTGATATACATGTGCTTTAGGTTATAAGCATGTTCCTTGAACAAATTATGTTTACAAACCAAGGTTTTACTCAATGAGCTGGATAAAAAACTGGATCCAGGAAGCTGAACTCATATCTGAATCTGATGCAAGTGATGAGATTGAGAATTTTAAGCTGAATAATAGAATGTGACCTCTGAAGAAGAATAGAGCAATTGGATGTATGTTGGATCAAATACGTCTTTAGCAGCCAAAGGTCAAACTGGAACATTGAGCAAACTAGCCATAAATCCTTCCTACCTTGTATAATCTCATCCTTTTGCCTGTAAACTGGTCTGATGACTTGCTTCCAACCAGCAGAATACCACAAAGGCAATGGATTGTCACAGCCATAGTTATGACACAACAAATTATAACCTTTTCTTGCTAACCAACTTTATTGCCACAGCCTACATGTTATGATGAAGTGATAAGTTCTTTGCAGATGTCCATGTAACAGGGATCTAGGGCAGCTCCTAGGTGATAAACAGAATTGCCCCGGAGCCCTTTAATCCCTCTATCTTCCAGAAAATGAATTCTTCCAAAAGTTTAGGGAGCTTGTGCACATCTTCCTTCAGCTGAGCTTTAAGATATCCAGCCTTGGCCAATGCTTTCATTGCACTACAGTGAGATACACTGAGGCAACTAAGCTAAGCTGTGCCTGGACTCTGTGTACATTGTGAAATAATGAATGTACATTATTCTGAGCTTCTAACCATGGTTATTTGTTATGTGTTGAGAGATAGTATATACAGTAACTAAAAATAATCCTTTGACAAACATACTAATAGACAACCCCATTTTACTGATGAGGAAAGTAAAGACAGACATTAACAATCCTGCCCAAGATAATTCACCTACACCATTAGGGAAGGGTTTTTCTTCCTACTCACAATATTACTGTGACATCAAGCAGTTGTCAACTTCAAATAAGCAGAAGGGAAACAGCTATACTTGGCTGCAAGCTGCTATTTCTTGAATGGTTTAATCTCTAATCTCGGCTACCTCAACTTGACCAACATCCATATGATCTTTCTCCTTTCTCCATGGCCCTAAATTCCACCTCACCTAGAGCACTGAAACATCCAACAAGCTCTCTTTAATGGCCCCTCAAGGAATTAGGCTGATCTCAGGGATAAACATGCCCTGGTCTACTGTCCCTGAGCATATCTGCAACCCACTCATCCCATTTCTCACACTGGGTTGTTTTCAGTCTTGTTTCTATGGCTCCATAATGGAAGGTCCATATCTGCCTGACTGCTGAGATCCTGATCTTTCCCTACTACAGTAGTTCCCTTATTGCAATGAAGTCTCTGATAAAGTCTCTCCTTACAAAAATCTAAAATTTTTGACATTATTAATAGCATTAAACATACCTAGACCTTTTAATCAAATAATTCTACTTCTAGAAATTCAATCAAAGGCAATTATGTGCACATCATTTATTTTTTAACAAATATTGTTCATGACACATTATGTGTAATTTTTAAAAACCCTCAAAAGAGAAAAAATGGCTCTAAACAAAAGGGTAAATAGATTATGCAGCCATTAACATAGTGTTTTCAAGTTGTCTGAAATAACACTTGAGCATGCTATTAACATATTAGGTCAAACTGTAGCAAGATTTAAAATACATAAAACATACATAAGATGGCTTATTTTGTTACTGTTTTTAAAAATAAAAGCCTAAATATGTGCAGAAAAAGACTGAACTAATTTCAAAATGCTGATATTAAATTTGATAGGATAATTTTATACTACATTTTATAGTGATTTTTTAAAAGTCAGAAAAGAACAAGATAGTTGTAAAAATAACACTGCAAACATTAAAAAAAGGAGAAAAGAAAAGAAAAGAAATCGTCTCTGGCAAGCAAATATCTTTTCCAGAAGCTTCTTTCATGCTCTCAGCTGGATGTTGTTTGTCTCTCCTGGGAGTACCTGGCTTTCTGCCTCCTGTGCCTGTTAAAACATTCTGTTTCACATTACTCACCCACTAGCCCACGTTAATCTATTAATCACTAGTAGATAGAAGAAACTCAGGAAAGGCATAAATTCTACTCTAAATACCACAGTAGGTCCTGGAGTACTACAGTACTTTCACTAAGTACATGTTTATCAATTGTAGCCACATCTTTTGTAACTCCATTTGCATATTCATCCTGTTTGAATTCATTTTAATTTTATTTTGATGTCAACTTTTTTCACTATAAGCTCAGTGAAATTCCTCAGTATCTCAAATGGCACAAGTAGTATTTCAGTGTACTCTTGCTATGTTAGATCAAATCATAGGAAGTTACCATATACTATTGTTTTTTTTCTACACAGACATGGACAAATTCAGTGCCTTTTCTCTCTTACTTAGACACTTCTTCGCTATGACTATAATTTTATCAGCTTGAGGTGCAACAGTAAAACTGAGAGAAAATTTATTTTTCTTCACAATTCCACAGGTAGATCTGTTACTACTGTAGCACTTAGTGACCTCAACATATGTTGGCTTTTTTCCCATAAGTTGAGAACTTCCCACCTTTTCACTTAAAGGAAGTGCTTTGTGGCTTCTCTTCGGCATATCCAGATTGTCAGCATCACTACTCTGATACTTTGGGGTCATTACTAAATAAAATAGTTCTTGAACACAAGCACTGCTGTCAGTCTCAGATATCTACTAAGTGACTAATCAGATAATAGTGCATATACACTTTGGATACCATGGAAAAAAAGTATGATTCATGTCTGTGGATGATGGTCAGGTCAGCGCAAAATTTCATCATGGTACTCAGAATAACACACAATTCAAAATTTATAAATTCTTTATTTCTGGAATTTTCCACTTAATGTTTTTAGACCTGGGTTGACTATGGATAAATGAAGCCACAGAAAACAAAACAGATGAGGGAAAACTACATAATGATGGTCTTGGGTAACCCTGTGAAAACACTGAGAATTACTTTGACCTTCTCCATTCTCTCTTGTAAATCACTTTTTTTCCCACCTACAACTACATCTTGGGTGTCTCTACTAAAATAAAAACTGGAGTTTTGGGAAAACAGGTGACCCTGCTTTGTGCTCACATCACTGATTTGCATGGCTGTTAACATGGTTTGCATGAAAATAATGTGCTTTGTTTAAACCATATTACTTATAATTGTATGACTATTATACTTTATTAAGAACTTTAAAGAGGGATACATTTATGATGTGTTTATTTTATATACATAGTCCATGCATTTTTTCTTGCTACAGTTTTATTTAAAACCAGACCAAAATCTTCCTCTGGGCATTTGTTAGGTAGTATACACTCTTTGGGTATGAAATCTCTTTGGTCAACATACAACATTCAAATATTGGCAATGTACTTCTATGAAATATTAAGACATTTCACATAGGAAACATTAACCTCATGACCCTATGACCCCGGAGGAAAGAAATATATACAAAATCACAAAATATTTCTGAGTAGGCATATTATAGCTAATACTCATTCACTTTAAAAGGGTATTATGCATGGATTCAGGAAGAGTTTAAACACATTTCTGAACTGAAAGAGTCAAAGGCTGAACTGAGCATTGAAAGTAGTGAATTAGCTAATAAGGGCGCCCTACTTAGGTCTTCCGCATCCAGCTGTAGGTTGGTTAATAGAAGAAAATCCATAGTTTAAAGGCCTGTGTGGAAATTCAAGTTCTAATGGAAAATGAAATAAGGGCTCATTGCTTCAAAGGTAAATCATTACGTAATATTTCTTCAAGTAGACATCTCACTAGTGCATTTTAAATATGATACAATAGAAGAGGAAATGCATATTCCAATGATACTTCCTTTTTTAAAAACAAACTTTAAGTACTGTGGATCCCATCTTCAGAATTTATGGCACATTCTTATAAATATTCTTTTGGTGGCAAATTTAATCCTTGAGGATAGATTTTGATATGCAGGTTAGGCAAAAGCCAAATGACATCTCCTAAAACACCTGGTATATCAAAACCGCTCTGTGAACATTACGGAAATGTGATAATCGAGGAAGTCATATCAGACGCCCTCTCTAAAGAATGTGGCAGGGGCTGGGGATTTAGCTCAGCGGCAATGCGCCTGCCTGGCAAGTGCAAGGTCGTGAGTTCGGTTCCTGGTACCGGAGAAAAACCAAAAAAAAAAAAAAAAAAAAAGAAGAATGTGGCAAAGCCTCCGTCTTAAGGAATGTGGACCTTCAAAGAATGTGGACCTTGTTAGAGTCAAGGGAGTTGACATGGCACAATTAGTTCCTGTGTACATACGTGTAGTTCTAGCACGGCTCTGTAACATAGGTTGTACCCAATCCAGCTGTAGTTTGTTAGTGTGTTACCATATAAGGGAGACAGAGACCCAAGGCGTGTATAAGGGGAAAGAACCCACAAGGCTGGGTGCTTAGTCTTTAGATGCAAATCCACTGGTTCCATGCTGGTACAGATAGAGCTACTTCCTCAAAAAACCTAGGTGTCCCATCTCTGTGCAAGAATTCCATAACAATATCATTTCTTATTGAATAAAATGTAAAGATATTTTTGTATGTCTCTCAAATGGAATTTTGATATTTTTATATGCATTATTTTTGACAGTATACAGTGAAGATTGCAGCCCCTTCAATATGACATAGTATATATAAAACATAAATATGTTGAAGTAATCTCCAAATTAATAGAAAAGAATGTGCTAACATCTGCCTTATATTCCTAAGTTTACTTTACTTGGTTGTGCAACTCAGGCTCAACAAAAATCTGCTGTTATTCAAAGAGTGTAACTGCAAAAAGTCAGTCTCATAACCAGTTCTGATACACCCAATTCTATATCATGAGAAAAATCCGTTTCTAAAAGTAGAAGCCAAGAATTAATTACAGGAGCCTCTTTATAAAAAGAAGCCAATTATTTGTGGGCATTGCAAATACTTTTACTATCTAAAGCTCTCTGGAATTACTTTTTAAAAATTTTTTTTAATTTTAAAGGATAAAAAAATAAGAAGCATCAGAAATGATACAGAATTTCACAAAACAAGATGGTAGAAATTCCACAATGGTTATTATATTGCATATTGTTGTCTTCAAATTAGTTGTTCAGATTACCAGATACAAGCATGCAAAATTGGCCAAAAAAATTTAAGCACTAACTGTACCTTTCAATAAACGAATAGAAATCAGCAGTACAATTATCTTAGCTATCTGTGTATATATATTTATATTTTTCCCTTTCTTCTTTCTTTTCTCCTTTCCCTCATTCCAGTTGTTATTTCCTTTTGAGCAGTTTCTTTCCCTTTCACAATATCTATTGTACTTTTTGGATTTTATTTACCCTTTCAGGAATTACTTTTAAAAAATCAACTACACTTTATTTTGTGAATATTGATCCACTAGATCAAATTGTTACTTCACAGTCTAGGCCATACACGTTTCTAGTCCTGTAAGCACCCATATTCTTGCCCTTACCCAAACATGATCACTGCATCTTATTCTCTGAAATATTATAAAGAATAATGAACTCAGAATTTCAGGGGCTTCTCACAGAAAACATTACAAATAACATCAACAGCCATGCAATGATTTCTCTGATGGAGAAAATGAATTATAACCTGTATCAATTTACAGTTCCAGTTTATCTACCTAGGGAAGAGTGACAAAAGTACTAAGTATATTTGTCAAGACCATCTGGGAAGACAATATTGTGATTTATTTATCTGAGCCCCTGAGTAATCCAACATTTTGGTAGACTTGTAGCATGATTAGCAGTGTAACTAATAATTGTTTTCGTAAATACAGATTGTCGTGCTCTCAACATGATGTGTCTCTTGGATCATAACAATACCAACTCAGCTACAAGTCTTCTCCGAAGCGGAGCCGTTGTATTCATCCGTTTACTTAGTTTCAAAAAGCAGGAAGCCTGCAAAGGTAGAGAAGCGCTGGTGGTCCCCATGAAGGGCACCATTGCCCATTCTCAGCCAAACCTCATCCCCTTTGGCGAGCTTCAGCACTGCATGGTTGCTGGATGTATCCGATTTTCCCTTTGTCTCATAGCTGAAAAGAAAAAGAGGCACAAAGCTACTTACTCTTTATAGTACACAGCCAGCTTGTCATCAAAGTCTATCATCCCGTTCTCTTATGTGTTAGGTATAGTCATGTGATGGGTCCTCTAAAATGGCATGTGGGCAGAAATGGAAAATGCCACTTCTAAGGCTTGCCAATAAAATTCACAAACTCTCTTCGTTCTTCCTTCCCCATGACTGTCAGGAACATTAATGGAAATGACTAAAATGACCTTGGAAGCTGTATGTAAAAATCTGAGTGCTTATTTAAAGACTACTACGGACAGGACATCTTTCCCATCCCTGCCCCAATCTGGAACATCCACCTTAGATTCTCTACTCTGGACTGTTTGACTAGAAGTAAAGAATGTTCTGTGTTTGAGCCCTTATACTGAGTCTTTGTTAGAGCAGTCTAGCCTTCCCTAAATAATCTTGGATTTGTTACTAAAGGAGGTTGAGCTACCATAAGCCAAATTAAAATACGGTTCAGTGACTCATGGTCAGTCAGAGAGTGTGGAAAAAAATCTGAAAGCTGGAGAGCTGAAGATCTACTGTGGCCAAACATACAACAAGAAGACATAATGCCTGTACTGTAAGTAAGGGAATTACTAGAAAAATGACCTGAGGTGTTTTTACAAAAGATGACTCCAGAGAAGAACTGACAGGATTGAAATAATTAGAATCTAGAAAGCTGGGGACTAACAAGGTTGAAAGGCTGCCTTTCTACTCAGATCTGTTGTTTTAAAAGACTTCAGGGTAACCACCCCTACATTGAGAGTAAAGCAAAAAGATAAGTAGCACATGCCTGTTATCTCAGCAGTCTAGGAGGCTGAAGCAGGAGGAGTCCAAGTTCAAGCCCAACCTGAGCACTTTAGTGACTTGGCAGGTCCCTGTCTCAAAATAAAAGGGAGGGAGTGCTAGGGATGTATCTCAGTAGAAAGCCCCTTGGTTGAATCCCCAGTGTGTGTGTGTGTGTGTGTGTGTGTGTGTGTGTGTGTGTGTATGGGGGAAGACTGGGTGGGATTGATTTACAAATGTCACTCGTAGCAATCAGAGCAAAAGCCTCCTAGGTTTCTGAGGAAATGGTACATTATTATGAAGGACCCAACCTGGACTAAAAATGACTTGGAACATTTGACTTAGACCTCAAATTTGAAACAGGAGAAAGTGGGGTGTAAGGAATCATGAGAAAGGCCACTCGCCTATTAGATATGGTTATGGATAAAAGCAAAAGAAGATTCTCCCAGAGAACAGAATCAGAGACAAAGAGAAACAACAGAGAGATTGCCTTGAAGAAAAGGACTGTTCATTCCCAAATCTACATTTTGAGCTTGATGTATGAATGCAGCTTGGGCTTCTCCCATGGGAGCAGAGATGGGGAGAGGTGTTTTTTAAGTGTAGAAAGAACTCAACAGATACTTGAAAGTCAGAGGGTCAGAGAAGGCAGGCTGCTATTCTCCATAAGGAGCTGCATGACACTTGCCTTTGCATTGGTTGTGGGGAATTGGGTATAATATGATTAAGTTCTCTGAATATAATGCCTGATGCATGAAAATACCATAAGCTTATTGTACTTTATTTCTTCTGACTCCAGGAGTGATGATAACCAGTAAGAATATATGTCAGTTTTATTGATGGCAGAGTTGCTTTTATCAGCTGTATCTCTCAAAATCCAGGAGGAAAACCCTCCTCCTGACCTCTGTGCTGTCCTTCTCTAGTCTTCCTGCCACGCTTCTTCCCAGCCTGGGCCCTTGCCCTGCATTGGTCAAGAGGGGTATAATTCTAGCATGCTTGAGCCACTGTATTCTGATCTCTTGCAGCAGTTTCACATATAATAACTCATCTTTTTCTGCTTTTGACATCTCAAATACATCTTCCCATCCAGACCAGGCTCCAGAAGAAAACAGCAATTGCAGGGAGAGTAGGGCTGTTATGTAGGGTTAGGTTAGAGAGCCGGGCCACTTTAAGAAGTAGAAAAGAAATAGCTTCTGCAACTCCGCAAGAGTCCGAGCAGACAGCCTGTGGTTTTAACACCTGCTTCTGTGCAGGCGACACTGTCGCTTTTAGTATAGGTTGCCATGTCTTTCCACATTCCCTAGTAGTGCACCAGACCAAGCCCCTAACAACAAGCCCAATATCTAACCAGTCCAGTGTCAACTCTTGGAGATGGTGAAGACTGGATCCTGTACCCCATAAAAGAAGATCATGCCCCAGATTCTCTGGTGACTCAGCTCTGCGTGCCCCCATTCCTCCCCGGAGTGGCTTTGTGTTGCTTTGTGCAATACCTGTAATAAAATTTTTGGCTTGCACTGGTCTTCTCTGACTCCTCTTCTTACATTGGAGAGAGACAAGCCCAGCAAAGGCGAATCGGGGGATCTCTAGACCACAGAGCCACCAGATTTAACAGTGATCACAAGTCATCAGGAATAACAGGGAAAATGTAACAAACAGCCACAAAGTTCTTCATGGACAACTCAGTGATGCAGGAAGGCAGGTTGTTGAAAGGCTTGTTGGGAGAGTAAACATAACCCGATTCCATGACACATGCACCGTGTCATGGAAATAATTCCCAAGGCCCCGTACATGAACTTCTTTTGGGTTCCCATACTGTGTGGAGGAACTGAAAGGACACAGACCATGAATGAAGAGCACACTACCATGGCTTTCCTCACTATAGTCTGCTTTGTGTTCCCCAGGGTGTACTTTTGTTTGGAGTTTTACTTTTTATATTTGCTCTCTCTTACTCAGCCCAAGTTTGCTCTGCAGAGCCAGTGTCTGCCTTACCCTTCACCTTTGATTTTTCAAATAAACTTTGCACCATTTTTGCTTGTCTCATTCAGTTCTTTGTTCAAAGTGCAAATAACCAGGAAACAAAGACACAAACACCCCCAAACCTAGTAATGTTTATTTGGCAAACTATCTCTAAAAGGAGACTACCTGATAACAATAACTCATTTAATTATGGGGAAGATAGCTCTGTGTATCTCTGCCACACCCTACACTAACATTAGAACAAAGTGCAATGTTTTACAGATAACTGTTCCAAAGGAGTCCAAGGGGCAGCTAGCATAAGTGTTAGACCAGCAGCACAGGCCAGGGGCCAGGACAAGGGCCAGGGAAAGGAAGGAACCTACTCCCCACTACCCATGCAGATGATGGTAGAGAAAGCTATCACCAGCACTGAGCCTCAGGCAAAGAGGGTAAGAGTGAAGAAAGCAGAAAAAAAAAGTAGGAAGGAGAGAAGTAAAAACTGAGTTAAGAAAGGAATCCAAGTGATTAGCTTGGGAAGTAATGCTAATAATAATCTCAAGGCCTCTAATCAACATGCTAATATGCAATTTCATCCAATTTATTTTGACCCACACACTCATAATCTCACATATACTGGTATATGAGGGCTTTAATTGAGCATAGGGGACACAGTTCTATTGATTCCTACGTGTTTCTCTGTCATTGGATTTTCTTTCCACAAATTATGGCAATATATGTGTAGATGAGACTTGTGATAGAAAAGACCACCCACCTGTACATACTGAAGACTGTATTTCCATTGTGCATAAGGTACACATACACTTCCTCAACATCTTCGTGCTTCATCATGCTGAAGGTGAAGAAATACACACCTGAAAAAGGCAGGAATTCATCCATGTTTATGTTAACATACTGTACACTGATGATCTGAAGATAACAGGCTTCACACTTCTTTTGTTGATATTCTACATAATATGTAGTTTCTTCATGGTCTTTATGTGCACAGGTGTCCATTTATCTGTTTACCTTCAACGTGCTTTAAAATTTTGAAACTTTTCACTATGTTACCAAGTCTTTTTTTATTTTTAAAATTAAAAAACTGACAAAACAATAATGAAGACAAAATCAAAACAACACAAAAACAACAGAAAATGATAAATGACCTCAAAACAAAACGATAGAAATTTACAATGGTTGCTAAATTACATACTGTTATCTTCAACAAAGTTGCTCAGTCCACTAGACATAAGAATGTAAGATTGATCAAACAATCGAAGAAGGTAATGAGTAAAAAAATAAATAAATGAATAAAACATTGGAAATGATGCAGAGCTTCACCATAGAAGATGGTAGGAGTTCAACAATGGTTCTTATACTGCATATTGTTTTCAGAGCAGTCATTCTGATTACCAAAGTCATGTGTGCAAAACTGGTCAAGAAAAATGAAAATTTTAAGCATTAACTGTTCCTCTCAATAAACCATAGACATCAGTAGTACACCTATTCCAGCTTCCTTATATATACATATAAATTTTGTTTTTCATTTCAAAATAACGAAAATAAATACATAAACAAAACAGCTTTAAGGGAAGGAATCTACCTTGTATTTTTTTTTTTTTTTTTTTTTTTTTTTTTTTTTGGTTTTTCTCTGGTACCGGGAACCGAACTCACGACGTTGCGCTTGCCAGGCAGGCGCTTTGCCACTGAGCTAAATCCCCAGCCCCCTACCTTGTATTAATTGTATTTCCGTTACTTGACCACTGACAGAGGCTCTACCATGGGACCCTCAATAATAAGACAAAGCCCTGTGGATAGGCACATGTTATTCTGTACTACTGTACTTAGCAAGTTTCAGCCAAAGATAAAGAAATACTGCCTTGCACGATAAATAAATATTGCATAATTCAAAAGAAATAATTCCACCATGCATGGGTGACATATGCACCTGGGAGGCTGAGCCAGGAGGATAGCGAGACTCTGTCTCAAAAAAAAGGAAAGAAAGAAAGTTCTAGTAATTTCTGTGTTCATTGTAAATCTGTGAACTTAAGTATAGTAAATAGCAAGATCCATCTTCAACACAGCAACACAATCATGTCACCAAAAGTCTGTGCATTACTTATTTTAAAAAGACTAACATATTTTAAGAGATGTATGTCTTCTTGTAAGAGCTTAAGGCTCTCAATGGAAAACAAGTTAACATGACTTAATACCCTCTGAATGCCAGCACAGAAATACTTTGACTGAATATCAATTCAACAGCAGACAGGCAAGCTAAAAGGAAAATTTTCTCAATTACAAATGATCTTGGATTTCAGAGTGCATTTTGGAAAGTTGAATGAATGTAAATCATCAAGCTCTTTTGATTTCCATGTTACAATTTAAAACTAATGAAAACTATAGAAAAGGAAAAGGAAAAAGCACTGGCAGTCTATATTTTTCCAAAGATGTGATCAAGTGAGAGAAAAACTATGTTGGTCCATCTGATTCTGACTCACACTGAACCAAATAAAAGTATGTTTTATGCTTTATTTAACTCCAGAAATGCATATTAAATGTGCTAGGAAATGGTATAATAGTTAGTCATGCCCATTTATATTCCTAGAAAGGAAAAGTAAAGTCAGAGGAAAAATAAAGTCAGATATAAAAGGATGTAAAGAATGTAATTTATATGTACGTTAAGGTTTTTATATTTTATAAGATTTCATATTACACACACACACACACACACACACACACACACACACAATTTTCCATGTCTCAACAAGATAAAGTTAGAATCAGAACGACAGGGAAATATATGTGTTTTCCTAAAAACATGATGAGAGCTATAAAAAATAGGTGTCAAAAACATTTCTAAGAGATCAGGCTAAGAAACCAGCTGGTGAACAAATTAAATCCCTAGAAGTGGAAATAGAGAGCTGAACAGTATACTCTACGTACACATGGCTTTCCTTGGCAAAAGAAGCTAATGAAATGACAGCCCATATTTTTGCATTATGGTTTCCAGGTCTTTGTGCTGGTGTAACTGTAAAACTCAGTCTTCATTATCTCATCACTGTCAATGTGGAAAAAATGTAATAGACATTCTACAGTCTCTGGATAAGGTTTATACAATAAACTACGGGCCTAATGATCCCTGTGGTGGGCAGATGGATGTCAAGACTAAAATACTGAATCCTTAGGTTGAAACTATAAAGACACTGAACTCAAGAGAACCACTCACTGAGTATTCTAGGCACTTATATAATCTGTGTCATAGATAATGTTTCCTCTCTCCCTTCCTCCCTTCCACTCTGTCTCCTTTCCATTCTTGTCTCACTTTCCTTACATTTTTCCTCCTTCCTTTTCTCCTTTACAATTTTTCCTCCCTTTCTCCCTCCTCCCCTTCTTCTCTCTTTCCTTTCTTCCTTCTCTTTCTCCTTTTCTCCTTCTCTTTGATTGCTGATTCAATTACTCATTTATTTTTACTTCTCACCTGATACAGGGGCCCCAAATCTGCCAGTCATGACATCAAAAAAGTTGCCAATGTTGGTCTCAACACTGCTGAAGATAATCCCACTGTTCTGATTGCTGAAGTGAGTTGCCAAAGAAGCCATAAATGCAATCTAAGGAAGAAGTTGATACTCAATTAATAGGTAATTTATCTTAAGGTGAAGTTCTTATACAAGTAAATTTATTGAGGCATTACTTGTAATGGAAAGATTGGAAGTAAGTTAAAACACAGGGAAAGAAAGAAAGAAATTATAGAAATTTCAAATATTTTCTAAGATTTTTATGTTATGCAGTCATTAAAATATCAATATATATCAACAATTCTGAGCATTGGTCTTCTAAAACACTTTTAGAAATATTAAAATTCTGTTGTCAAATAATACTGGGGAAATGAATGAAATGCTCAGGTTATAGTTATTAAATACATATTAGCATGTTAAAGCATCTGAGAAAACCCGCAGTGAAACAACTTTTTAATTTTGCTAATGCTACATTTAATTTTCCTCAAAAAATTCATTGAGATTTTAATTTTTTATAAAACAAATTCTTCTAATACACATGGAAATTATCTGATCTAAGTGTATATATACAAATATACACACGTATACAATGGTAAAATGTCTTTAATACTTTTGTTAATTAAATAGTAGGCAACACAAGGTCACTATGACTTGGTACTAGACTTTGTTATATGTATCTGGTATCTGGGTAGATGGAGTTATTTTGTGGGTAAATTGATAAAAATATCTGCAGGAATATCCACAAAATATGAACAGTGGGGCTCTGTAGAATTTTCATGTGTAATGTTTTCTTTTTTCATTACAACTATAATTTTCACATGAGCATGTATTAATTTTATATTCAGAAAAATATCAATTCTAAAACTATAGAATGGTATTTATTTATATGAAGAGATGTACAAGAAATATTGTCATTTGAGGAATAAAGTAACAAAATAATGCTTACTATATGTTCTTATGTTTAAAAGTGATTTGCATAAATCTGAAGAGTTATACAACTACATCCTAATAGTAGTCATCTCTGGACTTCTTTTTTGTACAGCTGCTTTCTAATTTTTTTTAAATGTAAAGATATTGTATGAATCATCTCTAAGAGGAAAAGAAGTTTGCCATTAACCAGGATATGAAAAATGTGGTTTAATGAAACTTGAAATCTATTTAAATATTGGAGAAGCAAAACTGTATGGGCATCATTTTACATGAAAAATATTTAACCCAGATTTAACAATTTTTCTTGGTGACCTAATTGCAAATTTATAAGTTTTATAGTGTTGTGAGCAAGAATTTTAATGAATACTTAAAAAAGAAGCAAAAAATTGACCTATGGGATAAAATACACAATTGTAACCTCATAAGTGGATTTCAAAACCTTTATGCCGAAATTAATCTGATCTGATCTGGAAAACTATGAATAAATGACTCTAAAATAAAATGTTCCCAAGGAAAAAGAGATAGCTATGCAAACAATGTAAACAAAAATTGAGCTACAAAATCTGATGGAAAAAATATGTTAATATCTGTGTATATGATTTAAAATATATAAATATAGCAAAATTAATAAAATATGACATTTAGCCATTGCATTTATATGCCTAAAAGGATAGATAGATAAGATAGATAGATTAGATAGATAGATAGATAGATAGATGATAGATAATTTGGCCAAAACCTTTCTAGTTTAACCTATCTTCTCATCAGAAAAACAAGAGATGAGTTTATATTTAAGGTCACTTTGTATTGTATTTGGACCTAATATGGAGGTGGATTTCAGCCTATAAATTTCTCTCTTCCCTAAAAATTATTTTAAAACTCTCTATTGCTATGGGATAGGCCTTATGCAAACATCCTTGGATTAAGACAAACTAAGACTCAGATTTACTAAAGATTGATGAGGTTTGAAGAAGAACTTAAGCCTTCTGACTCCTAATTCCTGGTAGTCCGGCAGATTTAGAGATCACCTATGGATGTGCACAGGACAATTTACCTGCAGCTCTGGTGGAATCCCTGGGTATCCCTTCTCTCCTTTGGGGCCATGCTGCCCCCGTTCCCCTCGAGGACCCAGGTCACCTTTGTCTCCTTTCTCACCTTTGGCCCCTTCATGGCCAGTGGCTCCATTATTTCCATTGTTTCCGTGGTTCCCTTAAATAACCAGACATCATCACATGAGAAAACCCAGTCACACTTACTTATCATCAGTTTTTAGACCACTACAGCCCCTTCCTTTAAAAAGATCCCAAATAATCATAAAAGGGGACTAATTCAAATCATTACAAAAGCAGCCAAGGGGCATTATCAAACTGGTGTGTTTTTTTAAACTGGGTTCTAGAAGAAGCTTAGATGTCCTAAGCCCCCAAAATCTGTTCTATAAAGCAAGGCTGGGGTAAAAAATGTGTGAAAGGCTGGTCATTGCATATCATTTAAAGCAGTGAAGATTAGAAACCACTAAAATATCCATTAATACTAAAAGGGCTAAATTATTACATGGCATATGATAGTAAATGCAAACAATACTGAAGAAATATAGTTAATGATACCGTGATAGCCATGGTATTTTAACATCAAAAATGTTACAAATAAATAGGGATGGCACAATATTATTTTTGTTTAAAACAATACGTGGGTATAAATGTCTACAGAAAAAAGGCTAGAAAAAAATTGCATGAAAATATTTTTTTCCCAAATGGATGAAACAAGTACTTTTGTATCATTCTATATATTTTTCTGACCCTCTAAAGTTTTCTACCAAGGATATGTATCATTTTTATAACTCAGCTAAAGTAAATTCATTAATTAAAAAGTCATAATAATTTGAAAGAGTTTGATAACAGTTTTAACATCTCACTTTCCCACAAAGAGACTATTTCTGTATCTCTTTCTTATTTTTATATTTGCTGAATTCCAGCCTTGTGCTTTTTATTTTGTGCACTGCTTATCAGGCATGATATCAGGCTTGCAATCTTTCCAGATAGATGAACTTTGTTTATAAGTTAGTGTGGTTAGGGACAAAGTCAATTTGTGATAGGAAGTATTTAACCAAGACCCACTGTTCTATAACCTCAGGGAAGAGGTTAAACCTGAGATGACTTCAGAAGAATTTTAATATCTCTAGCCCACATCACTGCCCCTGTGGGTGGCTACCCTTATTGGGCAATAACATAGGTCCCATGCCAATAATCATGATTTAAGTCTAACAAAGGACTTAGAAATTTGGATTCGCATGAGAAGCAATCCAAATGTATAAAAAGTTGAACCATTTTTGATAAATAGTAACTTCAGTGGGGATAAATCTGTGAAGAACAAGTAGATTTTAACCAAATATTGAAAGAGGTCCTATCTCTTGGGAATGACCTAAGGAGAAAATCAAGTAAACCCCTGATAGACTTGGGAGTTATGGGATAGAAAAGACTAGGCAAACCCTTTCTCAGCCAACCCAGTGCACTAGCCATTTCCCAGAAGGCCCCAAGCCTGAGACCAGAAGTATGCATATGGCTACACTGTGGGTCTAGAGAGACTCAATGTGGCTCTGAGCGTGTTCTATGCCTTTTGGTGGTGTTGGAGCTCAGCTATGTTTCCATGAACCCAAATGAGGTATGAAAAACAGCTGAGAGACCACTGAGAGGGTAGAGGGCTTAGCTGGACTTTGAATCACAAAAAAGGACCTACAATTCAGTAAATGACACCGTGAAGATGATTATAATCCAGCTTTCCTCTCTGCCTGCCTTTATTTCATAAATCTCCTGAAAGTTAGATATCATGTACTGCATGAAGCACACTGGCAGAAGTACTGGCTGCTTTGGGTTAGATAAGTGTCCCACAAGGGCCAAGTATGGTGCTGTGGGGAGGTGGTAGAAACTTTAAGAGTTGGGGGGTCCAGTGGGAGGTCATAGGTCACTGGGGGCAAAGCCCTGAAGGCAGCTGTGGGACCCTGGTATCTTCTGCTCCTTCACTTCCAGGCCACCGTGAGGTGAGTAGCTTTGCTTCCCACCATGATGTGTTGCTCCATGACAGGCTCTAATGGAATGAGACCATTCAATCATGGACTGGCATCTCCAAAACTATAAGCCAAAACAATCTTTTCTCTTTGAAAATTGATTATCTCAGGTACTTGCTATGGTAACAGAAAGCTGACTACTGAAGTGGCACTAAGAGTAAGTCCCAGGTAAGAGTTAGCAGTTCCCCTGGATGTGGTGGTACACACATATAATCCCAGCAGTTGGGAGGCTGAGGCAGGAGGATTGCCATGAGTTCGAGGCCAGCCTGGACTACAAAGTAAGTTCAAGGCCAGCCTGAACTGCTGAGTGAGACCCTGTCTCAAAAAGACAAAAAAAAAAAAAAAGTATTAATAGTTCTTGTCTTAATATTAGCAAAAATCCTCCCAACCTGAGTCAGATACCACATGGTGTTTGGAACCTTTTGGATTCTTTGAGTAGAGAATAAACATTACAGAATTTATAGTGTTCCTCCTGAACTGACCTAATAAATCCAAGTCTCCTGCTCAACTCTCTTTCTTCTTGGACTTCTGTGCATACCCTTTAGATCACACATAAATGATCACATATTAGGATTGCCCTTGACTCCTATTTTGGTTCTTTTTTTTTAATTTGGCTTTTCCTTTTCAGTTTTTATTTTAATTAGTACGTGTTTGCAGTACCTAATGATTACATTCCTTGTGGAGGGTTGGTACATGCACGTAACATGTCTCGATTCTTTTTTCATTTCCTTTCCCTCTCCTAGTTCCCTCCTACCTCTAACTCTTGATCCCTTCCCATTGAAAAAAGATATATTGCCCTACTGTCTGTTATCTATCATTTATTTTTGCTTTTTATTTATAGTTTGAGTTTCTCGTATAAGAGAAACTATGCAATATTTAAGCTTGTGTGTCTGATATTTTTCACATAACATTTTAGTCACAAGGTGCATCCATTTCTCTACAAATGACTCACTTTTATCCTTCTTTATGGCACAGTAGTACCCCACTATGTATAAATACATTTTCTTTATTCACTTATCTGTTGATGTGCATGTAAAATATTTCCAAGATTTGGCTATTATAAATAATGCTGCTATAAATGGGTATGCATGTTGTTATGGTTGATACATTGTGTCAACTTGGGGAGTCTAGAGGTTTGGCTAAGTGACTCAGCAGGAAGCCAGGGTGCTTACTTTGTATATATCCTGAGCCTGTGGAAGAGGAGCACATGGAGATTATGTGAGAGCTACACGCCCCTTAGGTGGGGGTAGCCTGTTTACAATGTAAGGCAGCGAAAGAAGCTGCTTGCTGCCATTCCTCCCTTTTGCTCTGGCTGCATTGCTGTTCGGCTGCTATTCCCCCCTTTGCTCTTGTTGCTTTGCTACCTTCTGCCTTGGAGCCAGCCAAGTATGGACTGAAACCTCCACAAACTGTAAGCTAAATAAACCTTTCCTTCCTTCATTTTGGGCGTTGGGTATTTTGTCTCAGCAACAAGAGGAAAGTAACCAAGACACATGTAGCACTCTACTATGAAATCTTTAAATCATTCAGAAAGGTACTTACAAGGAAATAGCTGGGTCAAACAGAATTTTAGTTTTTTGAAGACTTTCCATACTGCTTTCCATAGTGGTTGTATTAGTTTACATTCCTGCCAGCAGTGTCTGCAATTAGACTGGTCATATATGCTTACATCTCTACCATCCTTACCTGGAATACCTGGAGGGCCTGGAGGTCCAGGGGGTCCTTGATAGCCACGGAAGCTGTAGTCTCCATGACAGCATTTGCTGCAGTCAGGGGGCAGTCCTCCAGTTTGTGCAGACTTTAAAAAGATACAGAAGTTTAAAGGATAGGCACTTGTGGGCAATCAGGAAATTTTCTTTTCTTTCAGCCTTGACCTTTAAGTTTAACACCAGTCAATCCACAACTACATCAGAAAAGACATTTTGAATGTGGGCTGCGAGCACTGAAGGCTTGGGACTCAAGGCACAACTAAAATGAGTGGATGATCTGAGGGAAGACAACAGGAAGTCAGCAGAACAGTGTGAAAACGGGTCTGTGAGAAGTGGCAGTGTTTCTAGGAAGTACTTTCCTGCTGCTGCATAGGACAGCAAAGCCAGAAACTCCGTTGATGTGGCTCAGTGGTAGAGTGCTTGGCTTGTGCACAAGGCCTTAGGCTTGATCTCCAGCACCACCAAAAAAAAAAAAAAAACAAAACAAAAGAGCTCTTAGAAACTCTGAACTGTGGGCCAGGGATATAACTCAGTGACATAAGCACCTGCCTGGCGAGTGCAAGGACCTGAGTTCAATTCCCCGTAACAAAAACAAAAAAAAAAAAGAAACTCTGAATTGTAACACTGCCTTTGCAAATAACCATAGTGCACTTGTAGTGCCTTAGGAAATTAAGGAAATAAAGTACTCTTTAGACCAATACATTCACTCATCTATTAAAATTGAAAAATAGGAAATTATATGTAGTTATCATACACAACATATTATTTTAAAATTTGTATATGTTCTTGTGTATACTACTGCTAAATTAAGCAAATTACATATTCATAAAATATTTACATATTCATTACCTCACATTCTTTTTCTTGTGGTGTTTACACTGAAAATCTACTCTCTTAGCAATTTTAAAGAATATAAAGCATTGTTATTAACTGTGTGTCCAGTAGGTTTTTCATTATTTATATCTTGGAACAACTTTAACTTCTTTAAAAGTATTTAATATGATGCACTTCCCATAGTCTACTTCAAAATTTAAAGTGATCGTACTGCCATTTGAAACAATCTTTAATATACACTAAATTCAAACTCATTATGCTCAAATATGACACAACAAAAAATGCTTACTTATCCAAAGATACATTCTAAAATGTGTGTTTACTGTGAAGGAGCTAGCAATCTAGTGAAAGCTGATGAGAAGAAGAGTTAGAATTGCTTATGAAATGTGTACTCTCTTCTAACTTGGCAACTTATCTTTTAATTATGTCATGCGAAATACTTGTGGAAACATTCCTAGACACCAATTATGATTCAGTAATCTTTTGAAAACAGTATATTGTTGCTAAGGAATTAATTTTTAAAAGGAAGAGAAGGAGGGAGGGAAGGAAAACAGAGGGAAAAAGACAAGAAAGAAGGTAGGAAAGAAGGAAACAGGGAAAAATGTAAAAGTCCAGTTTTCTTCATTACTAGAAATCCAAGTAACAAGCTAGGTGAAAACTTCATGTTGCTGCACATGTAGACTTATTTGGTTTTTTTGAGCAAAAAGAAGGCTTATTCTTTGTGTTCTCTTTTCACTCAAGTTTTCCACAAAGCTATTTAGAGAAAAGCACAGAGTATCCTGTGGCCCAAGCAGTCTCCTGGCACAGCTCAGAATCCAAGAGGTGCAGGATCAGAGGCTACAGTTTGGAGCTAACTCCTCGTCTTGCCGTCATTCTACTAGACCAAGCCCAAGACAGATATAAAGTCTCCATGGGCTTGTTTTGTTTTGTTTTTGGTACCAGGAATCAAACTCAGGACCTTGCACTTGCCAGGCAGGTGCTTCTGCCACTGAGCTACATGCCCTCACCCTAGAGTCTTGAAAAGCTTTTTTATTTTTAATTTTAAAGAGGATTAAAAAACCAAAACAATAAAAACAATACAGAATTTCAAAATAAGGGGATAAGAAATTAACAATGGTTATTATATTGCGCATTATCTTCAAAGCAGTTGCTCAGATTACCAGATACAGGCATGCAAACTGATCAAACAATATAAGCACTAACTGTTCCTTTAAATGAACTACTAGAAATTGGTAGTACAATTATCTTAGCTATCTAGTGTGTGTGTATATATATATGTTTTTTTCCTTCCTTCTTTTCTCCTTTCCCCACCCCAGTTGTCACACTGGTCTAGGGAGAAAAAATCAACTAAAGCTACTGGTCTTAAGACAGGGATTTTGGAACACTTGAAAAGTAAAGACACACACCATGGCATCTCCCCACCCTTCCAAACCAAGACGCAATCTGAGAAGTATGTGTTCTGAAGTTTGTGGTAGGATTTTGCAGATGTGAAATACAGCATTACTCCCCAGAGCTCTGCCAATGATAAATCTGGAATCAAAGATAGAAGAAGAGGGAAAATCTTGAAGTGGAACTATTTGTGCATGACCAGAATAAAAACACTGAGATGCTTAAGAATGTAGGAACAAACACTGCACTGCAACCAGAATTCCCGTCCCAGTTCTACATGACCTTAGAAAAATCACTCTTCCCACTCATGGGTTTTCTTGTCTACTACACTAGAGGTGTGGGCAAGACAGGCATGAGTTTTCTTCCTAGTTGTAAGATGCAAACAAAGACACTTAAAGTTTTACCAAAATCTCAAAACTTTAGGAAGTTTTCTTTGATGTTCAGTGTCTAGGCACCAGGTGATGGAGTTGCTTGTTACCAGAACTAGCTAGAACTGAGAGTACATGAGCAAACTAACTTTGGGACACTTCAAGAGCATAAAGCTTCCAGCTGTGCAATGAGAGACTTCTGATTACTGCTAATTGGGCACCTCGGAGAACCCTCCTATGACTTTTATCACATGCTCCTTCCTGTGGCCTTCTCTTTCAAAGTTCAGTCAAATGGAACAGTGCTGGTGAGGCTTTTGATGGACTCAGAACAAGTTAGACAGGATGTGTTGATTCAGAAATTTTCTCTTTAACAAGGGACAAAATCCATAGGTGACATTGCTACTATTACGCTCTTAAATTTACCATCCCTTTTCCAAAATCTGGTAGAATTTGTACACTGAAGGATGTAAATGTGTACCATGAGAGGAAAGGGCTGTCTCTAAGACAAACTCCCTCCATTTTGCAGATGGAAGCCTGGAGGAGTTCTTCAGAAGTGAGTGCTACTATTAATGAGAAAGTCCAGAGTTCCTTCCCCAACCCAATGAAGAGGGAAGAGAAACAAAGAGAAGGGAAATTGGAAGAGGATAAATGAATGTCCGAGAAGGGCACAAGAGACTGAGAAATAAGGGTGACAAGAGGCGATGGGGAAGAAAATGGCACGGAAAGAGAGTATAGGTGTGCCCACTCCAAGTCCCTATCTACACTAGTCTATCATGAATTCTTTACCCACTTATTATTTCAAAATCTGATTGCCTCACCAACCTGTTGTGAAAAAACAAACAAAACTTTTTATAACAAAGTTTAAGGTCCTTTACCAGCTAGAAGAATCCTTCCCAGCCTGGCACTCAAATCATCTGATGTCTTTCTCCCATATCTCGGGAACTCCAGACACAGCCCCCTCATCACAGGCTCTCTCAAACCTCTTTGCTATGTCTGCGTGAATAGCCTTTCTTTCTGTCTCATCTTTTAAGATCTAACTCAGGCACCAGCACTACTTTATTTCTCAATTACCTTTTGTGTATGCATTGATCATGCTTATCACATAGAATGTAATCAAACTTAATCAATTAAATTAACAAAATATCCCCACTAGAGTCCTTTCAGATGACTTGGAGACAAAATCTCAGGTATGTTTACATTCTCGGGCCCCATCCTAAAGCTTGGCTCAATGTAGAAGCCCAAGTAACGGCTGGGAGGGGGATGGATGAAGAAAAAGTAGAATTAAGATGAAAGAAGAAGAGAGAAAGTAGTGAAAGAAAAAAGAACATATAATAATCCTAAAGTCAGTTTGCTGACATCCATTGGCAGAGGAGCTGTATAGAAAACTTTCAGAATATCAGAGACCCTAAATTTCCTTAACAGGCTTATTTCAAGAACTCAGGACTAGAAGGTGGGGGGAAGTATAAATATAACTTGGGTTTCCTGCTGGGTATTTGTGCCCAGGAAATAATGAATAATGATGCCGATGACTGCGTTCTACTGCCTCTCGGGGCCCACACTGTTATGTCTGGGAAGAATGACACCTTCCATGGGATGAAAAGCCTAGATCAAGACTTGGTCAAAAGTCAAAGTGCTTTGGTCACTCAGGAAAACACAAATTAGCATTAATCATTCCTCAACCAAAAGACTGTTAGATAAAAGTCTGATCTCTGAAAGAGACATTCCATTTAAATATTTTCATTTCTCCTGTGGCTTCTTAAAGAAGCAACTTCCCCTTGACATAACCCCACAGAGAAATTTGGGAAAATGCATTGTCTGGTCCAGTTAGAAGTCACAGATTAGTTCCAGATTCACTCCAGAGTCTGTGTGTGCTCCTGGTCTGCATATATAACCAGATAGTAAACCCAAGCATCTCAATCTGTGGTAAGAGGGGTTTAGACTTCAACCATATGAACAATTTCTGGGCCTATTTAATGCATAAAAGCCATTAGTTCTTGTAGTAACGGCTACTGGTACAAAGATCATACAATTAAAAGTAACTCTACATGCTTAGCATGTAAGTCAAAATCTGTTATTCCTATTTTCAGTGTTTTCAATTAAATTGAGCTTTTCCAATTTGTAATTTGCTACACCAAAATTTCAACTCCCATACCAGCCTCAAAGAGTTAAAGAAATTTCCTTCGATGCTGAGCTTGTGCCTGGAGAAATAAGCCCTCTCTAATGATCAGGCTTCAAGTGATAGTATATAGTTTGAATTTTAAATGTGTAGTCTTTTGCGGGGGTTAAACTCTTTGATTCTTTTTTAAAAGGATGCACACAGAGGCGTAGCAAACCTAGAATACTATAAATCAAATAAACAAGACTGGCATGAGTCAGAGTAAACTCACAAATCAAAGTGAAAGCCTTTGGCAGTTTTGGCAAATTCAAAGAGCAGCCTCTCCCTGTTGAGAAGGATGAAGACAGTCTGCTTTAGGATTAGCAAATGATTATCTGTAGTGATACATTTATCTGCATTGGTTAGCAATCTTTTTGCTCCAACAGGGCAGAAAAGAAATCAAGACCCAGCACAACAAATAATTGGCTGCCCAGGTTCCCCTCTTAATGGGGCAATCTCTGGCCATTCTACCTCAGTATATCGTTGTCAGAAACTAGCAGTCACCTTTCTAGCCCAGAGCAACCCACAAGCACCTTAGCAAACTGCTGTCAAGTCCTGATTCTAAGAATCTTAGCCCAAACAATAACAACAGCAACAAAAACAACAGCAACAGTCATTCAGCTTTTATAAAAATCCTTAGAAGAGAATTCAGAGTACCTGGCCCCAGAACGGGGTGATCTGGGCTAGATCATCCACCTCTGGGTGCGGTAGCTCATCGGGTCTCAGAGTTTTAAGGTCTGTAGAAGTGTTATTATCCACAGTCCCAGTTTTAGAATGGCTCCGCTCTCTCACTCTCTCCCTCCTGGAGCCGCTACGGCCAGTCTGCTGGTGGCTCTGCACTATTCTTGCCACCACTTTATTAGCTCTTCCGCTCACCTCCATGTATTCATCTTGACACTGGCAAAATGGGAGAAAAAACAAAGCCAGTAGTTGCCAACAGATGAGCTGCCTCCCAAGCATGATCTTCAACAGAGCCACAGAGCCTCCTTGGGAAGATGGTGGGGGCTCCAGGCACCGTGGTCTTCTCAGGCAAATGCCAGGGCTGAAGATGAGAACTGCAGACGGGCTGGGTGGTTTTATACTTTGGTGTGTAATAAATAAGGCTGCAGGCACGCCAGAGTGACAGCAGCCCTCCTCCCCAGGCAGAACAGCCCCCATTCATCACTTTCCCACACTACAGGCAAGACGGATTTGTGTGCACCGCTCCAAGTTGGGGGGGTTCATAAAGGTCACACTTTGGCACATTTTTGTTGGAGTGTGAAGAAAACATACACAACCCACTGGAAACAGAGAGCGTATGTCCAGTGGTTTGCTTTCATGATTAGACATGGAAAGGCTGTGCATTCGTGGTCTAAAATGCCTTTTGGAAAAACCTACCCCTGCGCTTGCCAGGAAATTCATGCTTAACTACATCAATTCCATCTGAAACGCAGCAGAAACCCATTTGGGTCAATCCAGAGAGCTCTTGTCCTCTAGATGCACAGATAGCATTCCCCACTTTCACCCACTGAAAACAACTTCCAGATACCCAGTACCAGAAGGCAAATTGTTGGCAATAAACACTGAGACAAATTCTGGTGCAGAGTTTCTGGATTTAACTAAGGAATTTCCCCATTCTAGGTTTTATTTCCTTTTCCTTTGAGTTTACAAAAGTCAAAGTGAGTTCAAATTTAATCAACTCCTTCTTGCCAATTGGAGATATCATTGCTTTGTGTTGAAAGCACTCACTGATATTCTTCCTTTTGATATGTTCTTGATCAAAATCAAACGAACAGAAAGTGTTAGACCAAAGACACTATTCCAAACAGGTCAGGGTCCAGAGAATTATTATTTCTTGTATTTTAGTTTGTGTACTTTTATTAAGTCTGCCAAAGAGCAAGTAGACAGTCCTAATCTCCTTGTAATAAAAACATAAGAAGATTTGTACAGCATTGTCATTAAAAATTGACTATTTACATATCACTTCATTTCATTATTACTCACTCACTCACTTAACAAAAAGTTGTTGGGAATCTTCCAGAAGTACTGCAGAGACCCTGGGGCCTTAAATAGGATGAGGGGCGAGTATCTGATACTAGGTAGACAAGGGTGGCACTGGAAGAAAACCAAGGCTTGGAGAAGCCAGGGCTGCTCATGAAGAGAGCAGCTGGAAAGAGTGACGACAAAGGAGAGCTGCTCACAGCTGCCTTCTTCACTCAGCCAAGAGGCTTGAGAACTGAAAGCTACCCCTGAACTGGCCAGAACTAGCAAGAGTTAGTTTGGCCACTCCTGCCATTGCCCAGCTAGCTGCTTTGAGAGGCCTGCATTCATACATGATGCTGGTGATGGACTGAGAGACATAGTCTGTGAAATAAAACTCCCTAGGTCTCAAGAATAGGGGCCTGGGGAGTCATGCTTACTCAGAACAGGTAGCTCCAGCCTAGTGGGCAGAGCTTCCCTATTCCATGAGTACGCAAAGGGTGTGTAAAATTTCCTCTCTGAGTTTTGTGATAAGCACTGCTCAAAGGCAGGTAGCACATCAAACTGTTATCCAGCACTAACTCTTCTCCAGTATTTGTACCTACAATCACACCTGAAGCTGGAGCCAAGGAGCACATAAGTGGCCGGAGCTTTGCTGTGAGCCAGAAGGGAGACTCAGGGCAGTGTCTTGATGGGATCCTCCCTCCACAATGGCCTAAGAAAAAAATGTCACAAAGCAAAAAATGGCTCTGAAAACTGGGTCACCTAATTCCCATATTGTTTAAGAGCTGCATCTTGCTTTCGCCATCAATCATTGGCCATAATGTGTACTATCTAGCTACATAACTACAAATCATCCCCTTTTTACTTTCAATCTCATGGAAAATTTCCAATTAATGCTTCAACCTTGTCATCCATTCTCGTGGTTCTACATGTTAAAATAAATTAGTGGCTTCTAAACATATCAATGCCTAAGTCCCATCCCAGCCCAATTCAGACAATCTCTAGTGGGGCCAGAGTACCAGAAGTTTTTAAGAAATTCACTCAGATAATTCTCTTCTATCCAGGGTTAAGAATCACTGACCCATCTTCTCCTTAATTCAAAAATAATAAATGATAATATAATTGGTTGACATTTAAATACATGCCAACAGGATATTTCTTTGATTTAGCTCACTGTCCTTTCAGCAGGCCTATCATCTCCCGTATCATAGATGAAGGAATAAAGAGGTAATATGACTTGTCTCATGTACCAGTTTGCAAAGGGCTTTGTTATGGCTTGTGTTTAGATGTGCCCTGAAAGCCTCATGCAGTCATAGGTGGGGCTTTGTTAGAGGTGGCTGAATCTAGCATTGGTGACACTGAAATTGAGTCATGGTGCAATGCTAGGATCAAGGGCACTAGGATTAAGGATGTGAGTGTTACCTGACCTAAGTAGCCTGGATAAAGTATAAGGGATAGGAAGTGCTGTGATTTTCCTTTATTGCTTTGTTACATTCTGCCTGCCATGAACTCTTCTGCAATGCCCATCTGCCATGCACCTTGCCTTGGAGCCAACCCACTATGGTCTGAAACCTCTACAGACTATGTGCTAAATAAACTTTTCCATTTTAACTTTGGGTGTCTGGTATTTTGATTCAGTAACAAGAAAAATAACTAAGACAGGCTTATCACAATTGGGCTCCATCTGTCCCTTAAGTCTGTACTCTCTGTCTTTGTATACAAAAGCAGAATTAGACAATCACAGGCAGAGGACCCACAGAAGAAGACAACTTGAAACCATAATATTAAGCAAAATAAATGAAACACAGAAGCTCAACTATTGTCTGATTTCTCTTATATGAGAAACTCAAAATATAAATAAAGAACAAAGTGAAAAATAGATAATAGGAAAAAGAGAGATAGACCTTTTATAAAAGGGAAAGGATCCAAGATATGAAGTGGGGCGGGGAAAAGAAGAAGATAAAAAAAAGAATTAAGATGTGTTATGTACATTTACCAATTCCCCACAAAGAATGTAATCATTATGTACTACAAACACATACAAATAAAACAATTAAAAATTGAAAAAGGAAGGAGACAGTTCCCTATCTTTCAGGAAACCAGTGGAAATAGAGTGCTATGGATAGAATTTTGCGCCACTGAAAAGACTGAAACACTAACCCCTAATACATGTGATCCTAAGCTCATTTGACCATACAGTCTTCATAGATGATTAAGTTAAGAAGAGGTCATTAGGTTGGACCTTAATCTACTAAGACTGTGATCTCATAAAAAGAGAAAATTTGAACACAATGATATGAACATAAGGTATGTGTTCATGGAAATATGAAGGTAGAGATCAGAGTTATGTATTTACAAGCCAAGGAATATGAAAGATTACCAGTAAACCTCCATAAGAGGACACAGAACCAACCATTCCCTAACAGCCCTAAGAAGAAACCTCTGTGCTGACATTTGATCTCAGGCTTCTGGTCTCCTGAACCATGAGATAAAAAGTTCCTTTCTTTAAACCACCTCATTTGTGGCACTTTGCTTTAGCGGTCTTAGCAAACAAGCACATTTAAAAACAAAAAAATTTCCAAAAAATACCCTTGAGATAGAAACAATAACTTTTCACATTTTGTAGCATAATAACTACAGTTCACAGCTACAACATGACACAAAGAAAAATAATATAAGACTGACTGCTGTCAATAAAAAAGCAAGAGTCACACAAATGACACAAAGCTACTATTTGCAGGAGTAATAGAAAAATATTTCCCAAGCATGGGAAAAGAATCTGACATACAGTTAACTGAAGCATATAGAACTTTAATTAACCATAACCAAAATAAATCTACACCCAGACATATAGTGATAAAGATCTCAGAAATGTAGCACAAAAATAGAATATTAAAACCTGTTAGAGAAGAAAAATAGATCAACAATAAAGGAAAGCTCATCAGAATCATGGAAGACTTCTCCACAAAAGCCCTCAAGTCAAGAAGAGCTTGGAGTGAAGTATTTCAAGTCCTCAAGGAAAATAGCTTCCAACCCAGAAATGATCTTTCAAAATTACTGAATAAATAAGATACTTCCATGATAAAGAACTGAAGAAATTTATGACTACCAAAGCAACACTACAAAGGGAACTGAAAGATATTCTAGACAGAGATAAAATGACCACAATTACAAGAACAACAACAGAAAGAATCCACCAGGCAGGGCATACAACTAAATAGAAGGAAAAAGCAGGAAACCAACAGCAGGAAAATAATATGACAAAGATAAGCCAATACATATCAGTTATAATCATCAGCGTGAATGGCCCCAATTCACCAATCAAAAGAAACAGATTAGTAGAATGCATCAAGAAGCAATACTCAACAATATGCTGTATACAACAAACACATGAAACTCTAAAGGAAATTTATAGACTTAAAGTCAAAAGATTGAAAACAGTACTCCATGCAAGAGGAAACCACTGAAAAGCAGGGGTAGCTATTCTCTTTGCAGACAAGGTGAACTCAAACTAAGAATAATCAAAAGAGATAAAGAAGATCACTACATATTTGTTAGGGGAAAACTTTGAGAAGAAAAGATAACAATCATAAGTATGTATGCACCAAATATGGGAACACCCAACTATACAAGATAAATATTAATAGAAACAAAAAATCAAATGAGTGATAACATAATTGTAATGGGGGACGTTAATACCCCACTGTCACAAATGGATAGATCAACCACACAGAAAGTCAGCAAAATAAATAAATAAATAAATACATCAGAACTGACCCAAATCTTTGAACAAATGGATTTAGTAGATGTTTACAGAGTATTCCACCCAATAATGTCAGAATACACCTTCTTCTCAGCTGCACATGGGGTGTTCTCTAATATAGACCATAGATTAGCCCATACAACATGCTTAAGTAAATTCAAAAGACCTGAAATTATCCTATGTATATTATCTGAGCATAGTGCAGTGAAATTGAAAATTAATAGCAAAAGAAACTGCAAAAACTCCATAAACACCTCTCATTTTGCAGTTCAATAATACCCTCCTGAAAAATCCATGTCACAGATGAA